CTACGATTCTCAAGACGCACAAAAATATGTAACAACGCAGTTGGGTTGCGGATTTGATGATAATAACCCGAAAGCTTGAGATTAAAATTCAAGTTGGGTTGAGGTGCGTTGGTTTTTATGCTAATTAGGGTGTGTACTTTATAACTCCGTCAGGAAAAAAGGAATGAGAATGGGAAGGGGGTAGAGACACCAAACCTACGAGGTGGTGAGGTCCCAACACGAATTGGCACTGAGGACACATAACAGAAGTTTAGAGCTCAGTGGGGACTGAACGTTAGGGGGGTATACCATAAAATATTTAAATTGCTTACAGCTCAATAAATGATGAATTGGGGGGGGGGGGGATTTAAGACTTAAAGTGGACTAAAGCTCGCTTCTTTTAAACCAAGAGTATTTGTTTCACTTTTCATAAAATCAAATGCAAGAGTAGAGGAGAAAAAGTCGATTATTCTCAAGCTGAGTATAAATCAGATTGTAATAGCTGCTGTCACGCAAAAGATGAGCAAAGGGTAATAATACGAATCCTGTGTATAGTTTCAAGTGGAGGCGGGCAGGCTCGAGAGGAAGTGTAAATTAATGTCGAAGAGGAGTGGAACACGCGAGCATAACAGAGCGTTTTTGTGAGAATGGCATTTCTGTGCCATATATTTGCTTAGATGCCTCTTGTCTTATCCAAAACATATTTGGGAAGAGGGAACTGTTGAAATTTCAATGAGTGAATGCAAAGAAAGCTGTTGTATGAAGTCCAAAATCATTCAATTCTACTGACAGGGAAATAAAGCATCGAGGCTTTTGTAATTCAATCGCCTTTGTAGCCCATTCAAACGTTGTGCAAGTATGAGTTGGTCCACGAATAGTTGACATTTCCCGTTTCCCGTGTGCCTGCCTAAGCGTGTCTGCCTTCATTTGACAGCCTAGGATCGATGACAATTCATACATACTTACAGTGGATAGTATCAACAAAGCAAGAAGAGGAAAATTAGTGAGAAATTCATGCATTCTGTGAAGTCACTCATATTAATTTGCAACTACTCTTACATACCCCATAACCTGATGTCAGTTATTCATTCAAGGGTAAAAGAACAATGAAATGCAGTGTAAGAGGAATTTCAAATCGAGGGAGGGGGAGGGGACTTTGAATGTGACGAAATAATTACCCATTGAATTCGATTCTACGGCGTTTGAAATCTGATTTAGCCCATTTGCCCATTGCCCAGCTTTTAAGCGTCTTGAAGGAAGGCGAGATTGCTGGTTTGAATAAAAATGATCATTTTCTTAGTGAATATTAGCATCAACTAATGAAGCTAAGTAGGTGTGTAGTATTAAACTTGTTGCTTTCTATGGAGCTAAAAATTGTTTTCTCTTTCAAAGGTTCTAAAGTCAAAAGGGTTAATTCGATCTCCTCATATTACAGACGGTATTCCTAGTGAAGTTTCCTGTCACCTTGGTGTTCATGCAGTGTCTGTGGCTGTCTGCTAAGTATCTTATTTATACATGGGTTACAAAACACTTTCAATTTCAATGTTTGTAGTACAGGCCACTTGCAGGAAATTTCTGTCGTTTTGCGCGCAGATGAAAAGTAACAAAGAGTTCAATATAACTCGCACATACTTTGTGTACCAAGTTCCCCTTTAGTTTGATTTTGGCATGTTTGAAATAATATTTTAAGTAGTCAGCACTTTGAATAATGAAATTGTTGCACCAGATTGTTTCCAATTGAACTTTGTTTATTTCAATTTTCGTTGATTGCTCAAATTTGATCGTCTCAACGCATTTTAGAGGTGATTTAGGCATTTTTCGAGGCCATATTATCGCATATATTTCACTGTATGCTGCGCTACCTCTTGATAGACAAAGATCTTTAGATCAAATCCTCCTTTTTCACCAATTCGGCCCTTTTTCAAGGAAATTGGCCTCTCGCACCTTCTGTATAAGTCAGTTTTCCGCGAATATGTTCTTAATGGTCATCAGGGGGGCGGGGGACAAATGCATTTTCCAAATCTTTAATGGATTGAACAGCCATGCACTTTTGCAACAACAACAACAACTATGCACTGTCTGAGGCGGAAAGATTGAAACTCCTCTTTAAGTGCCAAAAAAAGTATAGTCTAAATATGGGCTTGAAACCATAGCTATTTCTTGTAATGACTCAGTTGCGTTAAGCTGGAACCCTCTTTTGCAATTTTGCTAGCAATTAGGAATATACCATCAAGTGGTCCTAATCTTGTGTATTTCTCTGTCCTCTGCAACTCTATAAAATGGAATATACTCATGTGGAGTTAGCTAAGCGTTAATTTTGATGTGAGTGAACTTGAGAACTGAGGAACGTGGACCTCTGCTAAGGAAGGAAACCGAAGGCTCCTGACTTATTCGATGAGTCTTGTTGAGGCTCAAAATGCAGTTCCATAAAGCGTCTAATAAACTTGCAGTTGAATTTTTATTTTGTTTCAGAAAATCTCTCTCTCCTCTTCCGTTCCAACTCGATCTGTTCCAAGGCGGTTGAGTGCTACATCAAACTGGTTGGAGCTGAGGTGAGAACCATTTTACTAATTAAAGCTCTTTGGCAATGGAAACTAGGTGTTTGTGGAAAGATCCTGTCTAAGATATTTTTGTCTGTTTTAGTCAGGTTAATACAGTTTGGCAAAAACTGGAAAGTAGCATTGCATGTTTTCAAAGTAGTTTTAATACATAGCCATAATGGCAGAGGAACAAACAGTGATTTATAGAAAGCGCGCTCTAACTCACGTGAGGATTATCTACTAATAGAATGCGCTTTGACATAGCCCAAGTGATTCTTTCACTGTGCGTATATACAAATGAATATTGAATCCCTCTACCTCAGCTGGTCCATCATCGTGATTCCTGCGGAAGGAAGATGTGATGAAGAAAAAATCTTGTATATAACCACTTTTAGACATTGGATTTCGATCTCGTTGCAAAAGGTATAGATTGGCCTGTACCATGGCGAGTTCGCATTAGAACGATACACTTGAAAATGTGATTTTAAATTTTATTGCCAATTTCGAAAATTTGGAATTTATTTCATCTTTTACTAGAAAGAGTTGAAATAAGAAGACATTGAGGAATTTACTTGACATTTCCAAGCATCTAAGGGAAATCAAAAGGTCGAAAAATTGTCTTAACGCCTTTTGTTCCGTTTTTTTTTTATGGTTGGGATATCGTAATTGTTACCTATTACGGTTTCAAAAACTCCTGTACGCTTGTATTAATGAGTACATTGCTGAATCATCTGCAGTTGGGTATTTGTGTTTTCTGTGCTGCTCTGTAACTACTAGAAGTGTATATTTCCCAAACCGATTCCGGATAACGGCCAAGGTTAACCAATAATGGGTCATTTATGTAGCGGTAGCAGGTAAAATCGAAATGGTTGTCAGACGATTTTTATGACTACAACATTTCCAATGTATGGCTGGCCTCCCAACTCCCCTCCCCCCCCTCCCCCCTCCTTCCCCAAACCTCAGGCCGATGGACTACCGTACCGAGTTATGGGACGTTGTCAAGGGAAGCACTAGTCCCCATGCCAGTACTGCTTAACCCAATCAATTAATGGAAGGAATGAAAGCAGTCTGTGAGACCACTCAGTAAATGCGTAAAATCAACTTGTTAGTTCATATTTATGTTTCCATTAATAAAGAAATTTGCAATTCTTCTCCTCCCTTCAATGGCCAATTTAGTTTATTTGCCATTTAAATTAATTATGCGTGAAGATTTATATTCAGGACATCTAATGCGTCATAAAACACACCTAATCGATTTTTCGCTTTATCATTTACAACCTCCTGCCAATTTACATTCAACACAATTCGTTTTTTCCCTCTCTTCTTAATTCGAAGCATACGTTGGTCTCTGCATGCAAGAAATTTATTTAGTCAACATGACAATAAATGTTTCCTTGCATATTGCGATACACATTGGATATGAATCATCGCGTGTATACGCGAAAATACACGCGTGCTTTGCTTCCCCCGCTAGCTTGTACGAAAATTATCTCTTTTCTGTGCCATAAATCGATTTTTGTGGTGGACTATTTCTTCCCCACATTAGGTATTCAAGCCACATCTTCTGCTCTAATTAGTATTTGTTTGTACCAATCACAGTGTCGGTTACTATGGTGACATATCGGGCGATAAATAAATCCTTCATCATCACTTTTTGCTTTGCTTATTTTACGGAATCAATCATTATAAAGAAGGCTTAATATCCCCTATTCCCACCACAATCATGTAAGACTTCTACATATGCGAGATAAACTAAATTATACCATTTTTAATTGAATTCAATAATCGGTTAATATGCCGATAACATGGAAACATGCAAGACATTAAGTGGGCTGTGTGAAAATGTAATTTAGTATATGGAAAGCAGATGAATTGTACAATCCATTGGGTTGTAAGGAAAAAATAGTAGGTATGACCTGGGAATTTTTCTCTGAATAATGTTCCCATTTTAGGGCGTTGGTTGTGAGTAATAAACGTAGGATAAAACGCCCTTATTTACTGCTGAATTCTTACATCCTTGGATAGCTGGTACTGTTTAGTTTCGACAGAGTTTGTTAGTAGCTATAATGGAGTCTGGACTATATAATAGAACCGCAATTGTATATTTTGAACCGCTAACGATGATTAAATTGTGGATGTATTGTCAATTGGCTTTTTGTCTTTGTAGTATCTCCAAAAGCTTCTCCGTTGTTTCATCGAAAATCTCCTCACCTCAAGCGAAGACCTTGAAGTGGATCCCTCCCGTTTGAATGGAATTTCTTCATCTCCTGGCTCAGATAGTGGTGCTTCCAATGGTTCAACTGAAGCAGACTCTAGTCTCCTTCGGAGGAATCAAACTGCTCTCATGAACGCAGTGAAGATAGTTTGGCAACGACTGCAGGCCAGTCTCAACTACTTTCCTTCGTAAGATTGTGTTGACTTAAGTATTTCTCTTTGCATGGAAAGATGAATAATCTGGGTTTTGTTTTATTAAAGAGATTTGAGGAGTTCCCTCGCCTCAATTAGACGAACAGTGAAACAGCGACACGGTCAAGAGGTGGCAGATCAACTCATTTCAGGTTGTCTCTTCCTTCGCTACATATGTCCAGCCATTCACGGTCCAACTCTCTTTGGCCTGACCAATGCTATTCCGGATGACCCACGCGTTTCTAGAAACCTCACTCTCCTGGCTAAAGTCCTCCAAACCATCGCCAACTTCTCGCATTTCGAAGCCAAGGAGAACTATATGCGTTTCCTAAATGATTTTGTCCAATCCATGCAGGAAGAAATGCACCAATTTCTACGTTCCGTTTCCACGGTCGAAGAGAAAAATAATTCGGGAATTTGCAAACGTCAAATGACAAATGTGTCTAATTGTCACAATAATATTGACTTGGGCTATGAATTGACAATGCTCTACCGTCAACTTAAAAACATTCTAGATAAGGATCCGAAGGTTCGTAGTAACATCCATTTATTTAGTTAATATATCTACTTACAAGACTTAAGCAGCAGAGCGGTGTTTCATTCTCTAGGTGCCAGAAAGTTTGGCAGAACTGCCAGGTATTTTAGCCAGCATTACTCCACTGCTTTCGGCGCCTCCTTTGCGTCGAAGTTTCTCAAATGTAGGAAGTGGCATGAGAGCTGCGACGTCTACATCTTTAGAAGATGCTGTGAATGTTCGAGCTGGTACACTTCGCTTTCTGAGTATGGTGAATCCTCCTTCATTACATGGACTGCATATTACTCATTCAGAACAACCTCCAACGCCTGCATCCATCTACACGTCTGGAAGTGAATTCGTAAGTTTAATTATATAAAATCGTTTTGTTTAGGGTACCTAAATACATTCGAGGGAGTGGTGTGATTGTATGGGGCAACTAGTTGTCCAGATAACTGCAGACTTATTGAACTTCTTTTAATCTTCACCTTTCAAAGGCTTTTTAAGTTCTAAGAAGAAGCTCGGTGAAGTGAGGAAGGGAGAGCGACCGATAGACTATGTGAATCAAATTAGGTATTTCAGTGGTTAATGTGTGCGAATTTTGAGAGCGTATAAATAGTTGCGCGTCCATTGGCGACCAGGTGTTCGGAGTGTGAAAGTCATTAAAGCCGACTTAGCACAAGCGCGTTTCCAACCCAAAGGATCTATTCTTGGACAACATCTGTCCTGACGACAGACCTGGTAATGATCACCTAAGGGTCATATCAGTGGTTTAACCATCATACTTATAAACAAACCACGTGAAGTCACATGATAAATTGATATGAGAACTGGGGTTCAAAGTTAATTTGTATCAAATAGCAGGCATTTTGATAGTTTCATTAGCCCTTTAGGTGACTTCAGGCCTCACAGAGGAGAAGAAATATCAAAGTGAAAAAAAATCGAGAGGGGGGGGGAACAGAAGAATGTTTCAAAGATGTAAAGGAGAGACACAAAGGTAGAAAAAAGGTGAGGTGAGAACTGTGAAAGTAGTCGAATATGACATACAGTGGGGTGATGGTAGTTAGAAGCCAGAAGTCAACTACCGGTTAATAGACTTTTTTGCCGCATGAGTATACACTGCCCATGGTGCACCACGTGGAGGTAGGTCTATCGCACACCCCTGGGCTCAAAGTAAACCTCTCCAGCTCTGAACAATCACGTAGCTTTTCAACTGGTCGTGTGTAATGAATAACTTAATCGAAAAGACAGACAGAAATTTATTATACGCGGTCACCACAGTCGTTCCGTAACTTATTTCAGACTCCGAAACGTGTATCCTCTGATGGACTTCAAAGGTGTAGTTTTGAGATCAGCAGTCCGGGATCTGAAAGTGTATCTCAACAGCAGTCCTTCTTTGGAGATTCATTTGAACCCATCTTCGATGATTCACGGGGAACTGACCTCACATCCATCTCAGAAACAGATGTATGTCATAAATTCAAATATAGTTTGGTTTTATCATGGCAATGAGCTTCTAATGTAACTAATAAGCTGCATTAAAAGTAAATTTTCCAATAAAACACTAATTTGATTATCTTCCATTAGTTATTAACCGTTCAATTCTCAACACCTTTATTTGTAATGCCAATGAAAATTGTTTTATGAAAAACATATTTTTTATTGAATAACTTTTAAAGTGGCCTCATTTGACTTTAAATTGATGTTTTCTTTGTAAATTCCAAAAAGTTAGACCATTATATAGGTAAGCAAAATGTTTTACTACAATGGAACTGAAAGCAAATCCGACATATTTGTAAAATTATAATTTAAATTAAACTTTAACGAAATTACATATCAAGTCTTTATATTCAAAATAGATTTATTAGCAATTTATTCCTTTCAATTTCTCATAGAATGTGTATGCATTTGTTAATTGGTAAATTACGTAGTTCTAGAAAAAAATATGTTTTGTTCTAACTTAAAGAAGCACGCTTAACCATAATAAATAAAATCAATTCTAGTGTTCATTTATCCATGAAATATTTACTTATGGAACTAAAGGTTTGCGGGTAGATACGTCTTGAAAGCCATGCAATTGGTCAACTTGCTTTGCTTGTGGTTGTTGAAGCGAATCTTTGCACTAATAAGCTTTGACTACTTCACTCAGTAATCTCTAAGGCAGATTCTCCCATGTTTGAAAAGACTCCCAGGAGTAGCCAAGCTACCGCAAAGCTATAGAGGAAACAGACGTATCGCGTGGAACACATTTATTTGGACTGTGTGCGTATGGTGCGTGCACAGACAAGGAGCTTAGTCATTATATTAATATGGCGGGTTTGCTAAACCAAGCAAGGACTATTGATTGGTGGTTGGTTGGGTGCTCCCCACGCTCATGACCGCATTTACTCCCTACGCGAAGTCTGTCTGGGTGGGCATGCGATTACTTGTCCAGCGGCGACAACGTAGTGTGCTCCACAATGTAAAGGCTTATCGGTAAATGTACACATCTACCAAATCAGAGATCAGGGGTGCCAAATCCGTTCCGAGATGTCTAGTTTAGTTTATTGTCCAATTTTCTAGATTACATTGTCCCCACTTTTCACTGCCGCATTAGCGTTGATTGCTTTCCAGCGCCAAATTAAATGTGATGAGTCAGTGAAATCTCCCTTTTCTTTGCTACTGGTAATTGACTACGTCTCCGGGAGAGTGACATCGCGAGACTATCTTAGTTCAGGTTCAAGTTTCTCATTATCTGCTAATCTTGCATGATAATTTGCACTTGGTTGAATGATTCCATATCCGTGGGTACTATTGCTGGCTTAGCCACCTATTTAGCCTCTTAAAAGTTTGACCCCGGCGAACGGAGTGACCAGACTGCTTTAATTGAAACTAGTTAACTGGGTAGAAAGTTATTACCCTCTCTTCCAATACGTGTGCTAAAAAAAATTCATTCAATAAATTCCAAAATTAAATGTCTTTACAATGGTCCCAGCTAATAACACCTCCGAGATGATATGTCAGTTTTGACTTAAATTCTTATTAATTGAAATCCTTACAGGACCGTCTGTGAAACAATAGAGTGGGAGCTTGATTAGCATGATGATTTGTGGGTGGGGGGGGGGGGGGTGTACTTACTAGTAGAGCAATTAAATGCACATCACTGATCCAATTCCTCCTTAATTGTGGCCACTGATGAGAATGACCAACCACGTCAGTTAAAACTGATTTATAAGTGGGAGGTAGGATGTGGTATTCCCATCAAAGAGCAAAAATTTTAATCCTTCACCCAAAGTCGGTGTTGGAAAATAAATCATTTTACTGGCATTGCGGTCTTTTGCTGATGTGTCCAAATGTTGACTGAGCAGATATATCGTTTTCGGATACCAAGGAGGAAATAAAAGATACAATCTTCTCTGTGTGAAAAGTCTACTTTGCTGAAAGATAGATCAATTGAACAGTTTTTTCTTTCCGAATACCTATTGCAGACATCGGCTATATCTCCTGAAGCTAAAAATTCATCATCCCCCACAACAGCAAATACCCTGACCTCATACACCAATCACTATAGATCCACTAGTGTTCAAAGACACAAAATTCCCCCCAATTCATCCTCACTTCAACGCTGCAAGGAGGTTGAAAGTAATGGTCTGGCAAGTGATGGTGCTACGACTAACACGCTTCCCACAATTCCTCCACAGAAGTGGTCAAGTGGACCTGAACTCCATGCAGATTCACCGGTGGTTTTGAATTTTCCCCCTCCTCCACCCTCTCTTCCACAACAACAGAAGGAGGGAGGTGGTCTTGGAGGAAGTTCAAGCAACATTCGAATGGGCACTAGGGCGATCAGAATGTCCAGGGAACGGGATCTTTCCGGACATCATGAGGTAACTTTTGGTTGATTAGCAGATGACTGTCTTCAAATTAGCCAGAGTGTTTGATATATTATCTGTAAATTTTAGACCGATTCATCAGTCCGTAGTGGTGATGAAAATCAGGAGAGCATCCAACTCTCCACTGTTCCTGTGATTCTTCAATGTGAGTCACCAGCAAATCCGAATTTTCGAAAGGGTGGCGACGGAAGTATATTGTCTGTGAATTCAGTGGCCAGCTGCGAGTCTTCTTCCTCCTCCTGTCTCTCAATGATGCCCCAAGCAAACAATTCTACAGCTCCTGGTATAAATGGCGGTGGTCAGAGCGTATTTGTCGCAGAAAATACGCATTACTTTGAACTTCCCACTGATATTGTCTCTCCTCCAATGTCCCAACGTGGCTGTCGCTTACCAAATGCCAGTGATAATGCAACAAATACCGCCAATAGCAGTGATCAGGCTCTTCTTAGCAGGGTGCACAGCCTTCTCTTTGGTGGTAATGGCAGTCGTAATGAATACCAGAACGTTCGAGGGATGGTTCGTTCCGTCACGTCGACAGCCGTCACCAATCCCGTGAAGATTTCTGAGAAGCATGACTTACAGGTTTCAGAGATCTCTCAACTCGAAGTCCTGCAGCAAAGGTAAGTTTACTTTCATAGAAATACTTCACTGTATTATTATTTTGACCGGCGTTTATTACAATTTTTGAGTTTGCAGGTTAAAAGCAATGGAGGAACACTTGAGTCAAGAGCGTCAGGACATGCAGGAAGCCGTCGCTTCTAATATGCGTATTATGGAAAGTCAAGAACGCTGTATAAGCGAGTTAATTGAGGAAATTAACCGACTTCAGAGTCTACGAAGTTCAAACTCCGGAAACCCTAATGCGAATACGAACTCAGGTCATTCAAATGACCCGAAATCCTCATCTTCTGCTGCCTCACAAAGCCAATAACACACATCTCTGAAGACGTGGTGGAGACCTAGGATATTGCGCCCAGAGATGGGTATTACCATCTCGAATCCTTGCCTGACTTATTTTCCCTTTTATTTCTCTCACATCCATTTGTACAAATACCCTCCCCCCCCCCTCCCACCACCCAAGTCATTTGTGATGTAATCTACCTTGAGATTGACCCTGGTCCTCTTTATCTCTATAGAAAAATTATTTCGGACTCGCATTCTGCTTATGAACCCATTATTTCCTCCAGACACTGGTAACAAAATTTCAATACAAACAAACATTTTAATGTACCTTTGAATGTATTTTTGAGGTGGGGCCGGGGGGGAAGAATTGAACCCTGTGCAGTCAGTGATATGATAAAGAATGTTTCAAGCGCGTAGTTCTATTTGGGGATGGTTTTTCTGCCTTCATTGTTTTAATGAATTTATTGGCAAAAAGTCGTAATATGGAATCGGTGAAAGTGTCATTATTGAATTATGTCTTATCATCGACAGAGCCAATAGTGTCTAGGTTTTTTTCTGTGTGACTGCGTGATAGGTAGTGGTTAAGTGGTAAATTTAAGTCCAACCCTGGGAGGTAGGATTGAAATAGAAAAATCTCATAGACGATGTAAGTTATTAAGGTGAAACAAAAAGCGCCAAATCGATTTTTTTGCTCATTTAATCGAATTCACTGGAAGTGCACTCAGTGAACTCGTGGATTCATACTTTCTGGGAGAAAAAAATCGATTTTCGATTAATGTGCTTAGAATATGTAGAAGGCTATTTTGCTCAATCAGGCAGTCATCTATCCCATATGCACTTTATATATAAGCACATTTATTTTCCTAATAGTTGAAAAAACGTGGTTTTAATAAAAAGTCCATTTGCTTCCTATTCATCGAGTCTGGGTAGTTGCAGCTCCATAAAGTTGTCAACTGAGAAAGGTGGTAGAAAGGTGACTCTTCGTGAGTAGGGGAAGCCATCGTCATACCACAGTGACTGCGACAGTCTCTAACGGTAAAAGGCTGCAGTTGAGCAAATCTCGAATAGTACCTTCGCATTGATTCATTGTACCCCTATGCAAGTGTTTCTCTATTGGCTAGCGAGGTTGCTAGCTTCGCTTATTTTCAAGTCCTTAAAGTAGCAACTCGCTTTTACAGACCGCTAAATCGGCGGCCGATATTGCACAAGGCGAGTTGTGGAATTTT